ATGTTATATTGTGTGCATTCAAATATAGGAAATTAATAATTTTTGTGGAATTAAAATCAATCATAAGTATAGCAACATGTATGTGCATTCATGAAGTTGCATATTATTTTGTGAATGTTTGGTATTGATCAAAATTTCAAAGAGAATTAGAATTTGAATTGGAATTGGTTTTGAAAATATGTTTTAGGAAATAGAAAAGGAGTTTTATTTTTTTTTCACCCTTCTCTGTTTTTGGCCCGAGCAGCTGCGCAGCCCAGCTCCCTCTCCCGCTGGCCCAGTTGGCTGCTGGCCCGTTTCTTTCCCCTCCAGCCCAGCAACCGCTGCCGCTCCCTCGGCCCAGCAAGCCCCGCCAGCCCACTCGGCCGCCAACCGTTGCCGCGCGCCTGCGCACGCGCCCAGCCGCTGACCGCCTGACCCCACCTGTCGGCGCTGCCCCCAACCTCCCGCTCGCCCCGCGCTAGTCAAGTCGCGAAGCCGCAACCGTCGCCCACGAACGGCGTCATGGGAGCGCCCCCTCCTCGTGCCTCGGCCGCTTCAAATAGCAGCCAGACCCCCGCGCGCACCCGGCTGCCCCCCGCTCTCGTTTTCGCGCTTGCCAAACACCGAGGAAGGCCGCAACTGCCGCAGCCGTGGTCACCGGGATCCGCCATCGTCGAGCTCGGGACCTCCGCGCGAACCACCGTCACCGAGCCGTCTCCGCTCCGGTTTTCACCGTGGTGAGCCTCGCCGTTCTTCTCTCTCTCTCCCCGAGCATCTTATTTCTCGTTTTTTTGGCTTCTTGAGCCTTGGCCGCGAGCTCCGCGAGCCATGGTCATCGGCCATGGCGGCCACCGCGCTAGCCGCCGCTCTCGGCCGCCGTAACGGCATGGCCGCGACCCCCTACCTTCCCCGCGTCCCCCGGTGCACTCGGTTTCCCGTTTGGCGAACCCTAGCCCCCCTAACCGAGCTCACCGGTGTGATTTCGCCGCCATCCATGACGCCTGGCCGCCGGTGACACTGTTCCGGCCGGCCATCCCTCCCCAGGCCGATCCTAACCGCCCATCGCGAGATCAACGGCCAGGATTAGAAGTTACCCCTTCGCGGGTAATTTTGCTAAAGAGTCCCTGGACTTTTCTAAGTCCTAACCCGCAGCCCAAAGCATATTTCCCGAATGCGCAATCCTGTTTGGAAAGCGTAAACTCCACGGCTTAAGTCAAAATTACGTTTTCAGTATTTACAGAAATGCCATTTGAACTGTTTCGCTTATAAAATTGTCGTTTTAGCTCCGATTTGATCCATTCAAATCGCGTTAGCTTCGTAATTTCATAAGCTGCATGTTAGAACTACTGTTAGTCAAGTTTGAAACTTTTTAATTTCATGATTAGATTTAATTAAATATATGGCTATAGGAAAACCCGTTTAAATCATAACTTTCGCTATTTAGCTCCGATTTTTGTGAACTTCGCGTTGACGTGATCGTAGCGAGACGTAGAATATGTTTACAAATATTTTATCTTGTTTTCAATACTGTTGGTGTACTAATCTAATGATAGGAATGTTTGCTTTGCATGAATGCTTTTGGAATGTTGTATGTTGCCGTGTTGGTCGCGTTCAGACGGTGAGGAAAACGTTGGAGACCAAGAACTCTTCGACGACCAGCAGGACCAGCACGAGTTTGTGAACCAAGGCAAGTATAGGATGAGCCTTCCTTGATGTCCTATTTCACTTTAATCAATTACTCATTTGCATGTGTCTAATTTTGATACCCGTAAGGACATCCTAGTGATTATTTATCCTGTTCCTTGTCTCCTATGGGTTAAATGCATGTGGGTAGATTGCTAGTGCTCTAACTGAACTTGACATACATGTTGATGAATGATACTATGGAGCAAAGTGAGTAACATGATTTATAACAACTGTTCCATAGGGCGAAAGTACAAATGACCTTTGTTCATGTTGCTCCCGGCCCTCCATAAGGACTTATCTGTCGGCAAAAGCTGGGACTGACAGTGCAACCGGGAAAGTCATATGGCTCTGGCTTTAGCTCAGTAATAGGACCTTTCCTAGCTGGTTAGAGGTTACCTTTTTGGCGCAAATGGGGCTTGCCACTTTGGGTATAGGGCTGCCTCTGTTCCTATGAGTATAGCCGCGATGGATTTGTGCCATAGGAAAGGGGGGTCCCTACATCTGTCTGCCAAGGAAATCTAGCGGCCCTAACTTGTTAGGGAAACCTATGAAATGGCTTCATAGTGTACCCTGCCCGCTCACCTTGATAGTGACATGGGAGTAATTAACCCGGACATATGGGGATCACGACTCGCGTTGAATGTGCACCACCTCTGCAGAGGGTAACAAACTGTTATAACAGCCGTGCTCACGGTTACGAGCGGCCCGGAAAACTCACAGAATAATTGGTTACTCATTGTTGTTCATTTATGATGGTTTATGATGATATGATTCAAATGATGCTGATATCTGATTAAGTGGGTTTAAATGGGAGCTTAAGCATAACTTGATGATACTTGATAATAAAATCTTGACTTACTAAAATTACTAACTGTAGTAAACCAGTGTCAACCTTTTTGAGCCTCATGAACCCCATGTTATCTTGTTGAGTACGGGAAGTACTTACGCTTGTTTATTTTCTTTATTTGGATAAAAATCCCGGATGGGTAACAGATGACTACGTGTATGAGGAGTTTCCTAAGGATTATTAGGCTTGTGGTCAACCAGTCGACCGTCCCTGTGATGGAGTTCCACGAGAGAGTTATTTTTTATCTTCCGCTGTGTTATGTAAGACAATGTGATGCTATTATTTGTTATGTAAGTTACACCGTGATGATACTTTTTATAATTTGTCAACTTATGTGTGTGACTGATCCCTGAGCACACATGAGTTTAGTGCATTCAATTTTATCCTTAAAATTGGGTGTGACAAAATATTAATGGGGTGACAAACTATATAAGTCTACCACAAGAAGATAAAGATAAGAAAGCAGCTATATTTGTATTCTATTACAATTAGGCTAAATAGTCATTTAGCCCATTTAAGCATCATTTAAATGCTGCATGGTTGTTCCCCATTTTCTTTCCATCTAATCAACCGTTTATTTCATTTAAAACGCCATTTTTGACCGTTTAGCCTGAATAATGGCTAAATAGCGAGTGATCGACTCTCTATCATTTAGTGTTTATGAAAACAGTGATTATAATACGAACACATGAGAGAGTATCAACTTAACACAAGTCAAATACACATAGAAGTGCGATGCAAAGAGTGGAAAGAATGAATAAGGATGGTAAAATATATGATGTAATTGTAGTTAATGCCTATCACAGCATGATAAAAGAAAAGAAAGTATTTAAGAGTATTATATTGGAATATGTATGAACATATGAGAGATAATTTCAACTAAACATATGCCGAACACACATCAAGATGTGATCCAAAGTGGATAATTATAAATTGTGATAGAAAATTATATAGAGCACTTGGTAACTAAAGTCTATATATCACAACCGAATACAACTAAGAAAGTATCCATATGAGTATTATGTTAGAATATGAACAAATAAGAGAAAGCAAAGATGGACAGTTTGATTAATCGCGGACCATAAATTTATACATAAATATCTAATACTTATAATCTATTAAAATTGTTGACTCGTGCGGCAACATGGCTTGATGGAATAGTATTACATCCATGTTAATATTCAAAAGTCGTGCTCCCATAAATAAATTATAAAAGTTCTCTCACAAAAATTAGAAACAAACAGTGATCAATTCAACAGACTGCAATCACAGTCGAGATATTAGCCATTGGACCTATTCACAACAGACTACAATCACAATCACAATCACCCACCACTGCTAACTCTCCAACCTTCATTTAAGTTAGCCACATATACCATTACAAATATAATTTGAAGTAACTCTCAAATTTATATCTAAAATAGCCACCTCAGTCGTCATTATTAAAAATAACCTAAAGTAATCTTAACAACAACATGATGAAAACTATTTAAAGAAGCCTCAAAATTAGCATAAATTAACCCTCCATATTTGCATCTAAATTATCTGCCATTTTTACAAAAATATCCCAAAGTATTTATATGTGTGCTTCTAAATTATAAATTTCTACCATCATTCATATTTAAAAAACTAACTCAAGACACACATGCATTATGCGCGGCATCATTTACATCACATATGCATATATATTTGACGTCAAACACATAGTTTGAGCTAAAATTTCAACTAAACACATATTAAATAAACATGAAGATGTGATAAGGGAACAAACTACAAATATGGATAAAAAATATAGAGTAATTTTGGTAACAAGAAATTATTACAACAGGACAAAATTAAAGAAGGATGTACTATATCTATATAAATGTGGACAAATTAGAGGAGCAAATATAAACAACTTTAATTTGATAACCTTTTCTAACACTTTATATGTCGTTTATTATTACTAGTCTATGCATGATAATTAACTACTTGGATGATTACATGGTTTATTTACCTTTCTGGCCACGTCAGAAAGCTCTCGCTGTCGCTGCTGTGGAGATGCCTGTCGAGGCTGCCTTTGGCCACCAGCTCGTAGACAAGCAGGAGGCCGTTGCGACGACTGTCGCACCAGCCCAGGAGCTGCACGAGATTGCGATGCTTCAGGCGGCTGATGATCCTCACCTCCGCCTCGAACTCCTTCCTCCCCTGCGCCGACTACTCGGACGAGAACATCTTGATGGCCACTGGGCGCTCTTCACCAGAGACGGCAAGCTTGCCCCGGTAGACGCTGCCGAAGCCTCCACGACCGAGCTTGCCATCCTCGGCGAAGTTGTCGGTGGCGGCGGCCAGGTCGCGGTACGCATACCGACGGGGGCCGCTGGCAGCCACTCCTCTCTCGAGCTCGGCCCTGCTGCTGTCGTCTTGTTCTTGGTAATCGTTGTCGTCGTCGCTGGTTCCATTTGATGGTGGCATTCCTCTTCCTCCCGACGATCTTCTTCTCTTGCGTTTATGCTGCCATACCAGCACGGCTGCACACACCAATAGAAATAGCAGAGGCACTAGCACGGCGACAATCACGGTTCCTACTGATCTCTTCTTGGAATTCTGGATGTTGTCAGGCGTCAGAACCGGCGGCGGTGCCGGTGGTTCCTGCAGAGTGGATGTGAATGACCATGACAGTATCTTGTTCATCTCGCCGGCGTGGCCCGTCGCCGCTGAGAATCCCACGGCGACACGCTCTGGCAGGTAGCTCCTCAGATCAACGGTCGTGTTGACGTTGTACGATGTGCCGTTGATGACGAGTTGGACGGCGAGCAACTTGGTGACGTTGACGTACCTCACGGTTGCCGTCATCACGGAGGACGTGAGGTTCTTGGTCGGCGAGGTAGTGTCCTTGGTTGCCGTGGAGTTGACGGAGTTGACGTCGATGGCCACATGGCTGTCGCTGATATCAGCGTTTTCCGGATTCAGAGTGCCATCGCCGGTGCCGTTGGTGTAGTGCGTGAGGAGGCCCAAGCTGCCCCCTGTGCTGTTGCTCGGGATATCTGACCCAAAATGCCCGAGGAAGAACGCCATCCCATCACCAGTGTACGACCTCGGGTCCCGAATGATCTGGAAGGAGAAGGTGGTAGTGAAGCTGGCCGTCTCGCTGGTGGCTCCATCCCACAGCGGCACTGGCTTCGTGTACTTGGCTCGGCCGACGCTGAATTCGCTGCTCTGGTCAAACCTGTTACCTGCATAGTTTTAAGTAGCAGACTAAGGTGTTTAGCGGTATACCTCTAAATCGGCTAATAGCGGGGCTAAATTAGGCTATAGCGGGATATAGCGGCTAAATTGTACATGAACACAAATAGCGGCACTTTGCCTTAAAAGGCTATAGCGGCAGCTATAGCGGGAGATTTAAAACATACTTACGTGTCAGCTCAAGTGTATCTTGAGTGAGCATGGCGTCGCCGGACCGCCGGTGCAGTTTATCAGCTGAGACAGACCAGGGCTTTGGGGTTGGGAGAAGCTGAGGTTGAAGGACAGGGAGCCAACGCGAGGGACATGGATGGCGGCATGCATCAAGAAGCAGTAGTAGACGCACGAGGACAAGACGAGGAAGGGGGGACGAGAGCTCACTGTCACTGCGGCCATGGTTATGTGATGTGTGTTGGGAAGAAAGATGATCATATATATATATATATATATATATATGTTTGAACGCGTAAGAGTATATACCAACTACGGAGTACTCACACTATCATTATACGATCGAGAGTAATGGCGAGCCGATTTTTGGGGTGGTTTCCTGCGAAGATTCTTCCTAGCTAGTGACACTCACTGGCCCAGACAGCGAGAAAGCAAAAAAGACTTGAACAAAGCATCCTCGAGAGGACAGAAACAGCCCTACCAGTGACAATGCCTTAGGCAGCTGAGCTAAGCAAATAGACTTGACCATAAAGCAGTCCTCCAGCAAAAGAAAGAAACAGCCCTATCAATGACACTGCTTCGGCGTGCGTGGTACGCTATGCGCCTAGATACGGATACAGATATGATACGAGTATCGGATACGATACAATACGTTCTGACAAGCAGATACACGTTAAGAAAAAAAGGATTGACACCAGGAATTATAAATCGTACTGATTTTTCTAGAGAAATTAGCTATTTGTCATTTCAAAGAGCGGGCTTCAGAACTTTACCATTCTAAACAATGACTTTGCAAAATTGGCAACAAGAAGATGTAATCTATTGTTATAATCCCTATTCAACTCCTTTTTAATGTCTTCTTCTAAACCCAGACATCCAGTACTGGAGTACGGGAGGGGAAAGACACGGCGATGAGAGGAGCTTACTTGAGCTTGCAGGCCTCGGTGCCGAGGGATTCTTGCCAGAGTCTGTACTGGCGCTCAACGGGTGCGAGGGACTCGATTTGGATTCGCGGAGCAAGGGAGCCGCCTGAGGGGCCGAATGCTGATGCTGAACGGAGCAGTGTCGGGGTCCATGTGGTCTGATTCTCGCCGGAGATGGAGGCTGGAGCTCACCACCTCACCGCCGGCCGCCGGCTCTAGGGGGCAACAAAAGAGGGACGGAGAGGGAACGAGGGATGCACGGGGCAGTGAGAGTGGGCTGTTCTTTCTACTTGGGCCGTAACCAATCTAGCCCAAACGTAACTGATACGAGTATTCGATCCAATACGTGCCTAAATTCGTAGATACGGTCTAGGTACGTATCTGACAAGTATTTGGGGGACGTATTCACGTGAAGATAACTTTGTTTTTTGAGAATCACGAGAAGATAACTTCATTTTCCACTGATAAGGTAGTTCTGGGCACTTGTCGAGGACTTGCCAATTCCCACGGTCTAGGTAAAAAGCTAAGAAAATTTCATTTTCCACGGATCCAAGGCGGATTCGGATTTTATGTTTTTAGATGGTGACACACAGCGACATAAAGTTTATATTTATACAGGTTCAACGAGTCTCCAAAGCCTTTATGATTCATTGTTCAGGTAATTCGGCTAGAATTATGTTGGGAATTTCTTTTCTGCAATACGAACCACTGGTTCGCGCAACCGCGTTACTGCAAGCATTAGTGACGCATCCAATTCCACAGGCCCGCCCATTACCACAACTTCTGCAGTCGCAATCCGGGTTTATCCAAAAGAAATGTCACCAATGTTTTCCTGCTTGAAGCCATCCACAAACATTAGTTTGCTGCAGCTAGGGAGGCTGCAACCAGAGATGCAAGACAAACAAAATCACCATGGATCGTATTATAATTCCTGGTAAAATATCGACCACGGATGTAAAGTTTTTCACATGTATATGTCCTGATGCCAATAGCCTTGAGAACAATCGAAACTGCCAGCTATGCAACGGTCAATGAACTAAAACAAATCCCATTCGGTTTTGCAAAGGCTCTCCTGTCAGAAAGCAAGTTGGGCACCAATCTCAAGCAGTGTTTTAAATCTCCGGCTAAGCCTCTTAACTGCTGAAAGTGCAACTATAGTCGGAGATAGCTGCAGCTAAGCCATTTAGCTGTTTTTTCAAGAAAAAAGAAAAAGAAAAGAAAAAGAAAACACACACAAGACGTTGGCATAACTTGATAACCATTACTAATTGATTCATAACCCGTTCATAAGAGAGATATCAAGTAACAAATATTGACAACTTGTTCACATATAGTACGATCTACGACATACAAGCAAAAAAAGAGAGGAGGTGTGAGCACCGAGCAGAGAAGAAGCTTGCCAGATCGTTGTGCCATGGCGTCGCTGTTGGTGCTGCTGCTTCAGTGCTTCAACGCTCAGCTGCTTCAGTGCTTCAACGCTCAGCCTCCGCGCCACTGCTCAGATGCCTCCATCGGAAGCCGCCACCGCCGCCGGTCAGTCGCTCTGCTCGAAGCAGCAGCCTCCGCCAGTCGCCTCTGCTACGCGGCCGCCGATGGGCACAGCTGCCGCCGCCGTCGCCGGTCGCTCTGCTCGAAGCCGCCGCAGCCGAAGGGCACAGCCGCCTCCTCCTCCTCTTTTCTGTAGAGCTGGAGAGCGAGCGCTGGATACTGGAGAGATAGTGACTGCTGAGCTAGGGTTACGTACTGGTGTTGGGCTAGTTGGGCCGGTTTACTTCTTGGGCTAGGTTTTGCGCTTTAGCTGCGCTAACTAAAGGCTGGTTTAGCGGCTATCACCGGCTAAATGGCGTTATTAGCGCCTCAGCTTGCGTAGCGCGAAAAAAATGAATCTCTTAGCTGCTCCCATCCCCAGCAGCTATCTCACACACGGTGGGTTTCCAGACAACCAGAATGACTATACTGAATCCCTGTCACTGTATCAGTAGATAACCAGTACATATACAGCCATATTTCTTCCATGGTTTCAGCTCAAAGCATCGACGTACAGGGTGCAAAAGGATAATTGGATAAATAAGATATCTTATGTATTAGTTCAAACTCAAGTAGCAGATGACCATTTCATTTCTGATCAAGAAATTGCAGATGCTAGTAAGTACAATAAGCTGAACATTACATTAAGAAGCATTTATGAATTGATTGAAACACTCCAACTTGTTGATGGTACTAACATTTTTATGTGTGAAAATGAAGGAAGTAAAAAGTTGAATGCTACGTACCAAAGGATTAACTGCCTAGAAAAGATAGATGACCTTCTCAATTATCCGTCAGGACACAGGAGAGGCAGGTTTCTGCGCTGTTAGTATGGTAAGGTAAACATAGTGCATTAACTGAAAGCCTGAACAAACATATAGAATAGTCCCAGCATGCTCCAACTTCCCAATACAACTTTAGTAATCCCATGCTAAATAGCTAGGGAAGTTGTGCGCACAACCTAGAGCCTGACAAGTAACTGTTCTAATCTATTAAAGTCCCATCCAAAGTGCGAAGCAGTAAGCCAGAAAACAGATAACTAACCTTCACTTATGTTGGCAAAGCCTTCAACAAGGCATGCGAGATGCCAAGGCCTTCCAGCAGAGGCAGCTTTTGCACCACCTTTTAACTCACCATTGTGTTGGCGCAACCTTTATATATAAAAAAAAGGCTCCTTTCACTAACACACAAATACAACATCTATGTGTATGACTAATACTACAGGTCTTCATTCACTTTTAACAGTATGCTTCCTTAAACTGCTATCTGTTATTAACATAATAACATATACCTACCAAAAATAAGTGAATAAAATTTGCATTTTCAAGCATGTGTATCCTACAACCAGAGCAAGGCAACTCAGACAATTTCAACACAACTCAATGCTATTCTGTGACAAACCACTAGGTTGACAAACACCACTTGTGCACCAAGTATGCATTTATCAAATGTTCGCATTGAAGCAACTTCATGAAAACGACGATGGTGAAGCTAAGCAGAAAGACAAGCACATTACAGCATGATTAGAATTGTGTATTGCAACTTCACATGTCTAAATCTTTGCTTAATTAGAACGAACCCTGGACATCTTAATATCTTCAACAAAAGAGCTGAGCACTTTCAAGAGCTTCCTTTTGTTCTCCAACTCTCGGTATAGGAACGCTAAGCAAGCAGTACTAGGATGAAGCAAAGCAGTCGAATTTCAGTCCTGGCAAGATCGAGCCACATTGTTGGTACAACAATCACAATCGGATGGGGTCAATTTCTTGTGGTTCCACTCACACAACTCCAAACGGCTGCTTCCCCAAATGCTAACACTACACGAACATGCCCGCTGCAACTATTCGACGACTATCCGAGACAAGCAATTAAATGGAGAAACAGGGAGGGGGGAAAGGAACGGGGAGGCAGGCAGGGCAGGGCGAGGAATCACCGGCGAGAGAAGTCGGTGGTGACGCCGACGTAGGTGCGGGGGGGCCCGGGAGGAGGCTATAAGGTACACGCACCACGGCGGCGGCGGCGCCTTAGTACTCTTCGAGGCCCCCGGCGGCGGATCCCCGGACGCCGAGGCCGAGGAGGCGGCGGAAGGCTCGCTGCACTTTGGGGGAAGAGGGCGCGGGATTTTGGCGGCTCGGAAGGCCGCCGTGAGGCTCATCTCTCACCAGGCCGGCGGGGCAGAATCGTCGGTGGCATTCGCATCCATGTCGAGGAGGGGAGGAGATTAGTGACGTCATGGGATGAATGGGCCTTATGAACAAATGGTTGTGGCCTGTGGGCCTGAATGGCCCAATGGTCGTCGGAAGATCTCCAGAAAAAAAAGAGTATTTTCGCAATCTCTATTTGGCAACCAGCCACGCTACGTGCTGTGCGCGGAACACCCCTCCGCGACGGGCGGGCCCAATAGTGGCCTTGGTCTCCCCCGAAGTCCCTCTTCCAACGCACCCAAATTCCAAATCGTCATTTCTTTCCTATTCAGTCGGCACCCAATCCGTCGCTATCGGAAGTAGAGATGGCGAACGGCGGTGGCGGCAGGTGCGAATATGGAGGGGGAGAAACGACCGCGCGGCCAAACCCTAGCCCCACGTGCATGACCGCGGGGAGCTCCACTTCACCACGACGGTCACCGCTCTCTACAGCGGCGTCGTCCCGGCTTCACGACATGGTGATCCCCTCTTCCTACTCCTCACCGTCGTTGTTCCATTCGTGTTTGCGATTTATTTTTTCTCTCATCCGGTGATTCAATTCATCTCCGCACTAACCCTTTTTGCTTTTTGG